AGTGAAGTTGAAGCGGCTCACTCAAGAAAGCCTAATATTTTTGTCAAAAGACTGATCACACAACTCACGTAGTGGCATGCTTATAAAAATAAACCATGCTCCTCTTCAAGTGCCACCACTGACCCAGGCGCCGCTTATCAAGACAAAGCAAGCTTRCCGTCGAGAAGAGTACCCCCACTCTCAAGTCTCACACGGCCTCACTATAGTCTCAACGGCATACCTCCTACAAAGAACAGCGTCAGCTCAATCTTCACTCCAACCCCCACCGATTGCCAAGTCAGATCACCGCACGCCTCCACAATACTCATTTCCCGTCTCACTCCTCACTCACTTGGTCCCAGAATGGTCCCAGATAGTCCCACACCATCACCGCAATACTTGGTGCTCCCAACTCAAACCCCTCTTGCCGAACGTGCCGGAAAAAAATCGGTCTCGACCAGCCTTTCAGGTGCCGCATGCGATTGGCAGCGTTTCCGCATAACCGCCGTCGACCCCAATGTTTCCGCCGTAAAATTTCAGCAGCGCTTCCGCACTACCGCTAATAAAAGCACCGACGTTGCCGTGCCAAGCGGACAACACCTCTTCTACAGACTTCAATGATGGATGCCGCCCCCAAAARGCCATGCAGCATCTCCCCTACAGCGCCAGCCGAACCCCTGCCGCCGCCGGGCAGAGTTTCCCYCTGCACCGCTTGCACCAAGGTGGTGGCTATGACAGCCTCCCCCTCCCCCTCCACTCCTTCTTGCAGACCTCCTCCTTCGCCAGCAGCTCCAGCATCTCCACCAGCAGCACCGCATCTCCACCAGCAGCACCGCATCTCCACCAGCAGCACCACCCCACAGCAGCAGCCAGCCAGCATTCACTCAAGTGAATGCCTCAGCAGCATTGCCACAACTTGTGAGGCTGCTGGGTGGACTGCTGGCTTTAATAGCCAGCCAAGAACATGTGGGCAGCTGCTTTGCCCACAGCCAGAACTCGGAATGAGGCCTGGCCCTTGATCTAAAACGCGATCAAGGGCTGCAAAACTTGATGTTCCCCTAGGGGAACCAAGTTCAAGCCACTGGGAATGCATCTGGCCATCACCCGCGGCCAGACGCACCACAGAAATGGCTGTACTCAACCATTTCTGAGCAGACTGTTGAAACCAACAGTCTGCTGCCCTATCAAGATCCATATGCTTCTGGACCTTGCATCTGGACAGAGGCCGTGGCCAAATCCGCGGCCCCGTTTTTTTTTTTTTTTTCCCCAACCTCCTCTTCTTTTTCTTGTCTTTTTCTCTTTTTCTCTCCCTTTTTTTTTTTTTTTTTTTTTCTTTTCTTCTCTAAGGCAGGGGCTCATCGTTCGAAAATGAACGAGCACTTCCTCCCCCTTCAAAGTCATTTCACAGAGTCGTACTAGAGTCAAGCTCAACAGGGTCTTATTTCCCTATTGCCCCCTCGTGCCCGTACCTGGACGGTGAGAGTTTGGTATGGTAACCTACTGGGCTAGCTTCTATCACGACAGTGATAGGAGCAGCTCTCCTATAAGAAGAGCTTGGCCCAGCCAATGTCCCCCCGTTCCTCGGCCTTGCAGGCCCTGCCTGCCCATAGCCTTGCAGGCCCGGCCTGCCTGCCTATCTGCGGCCCTACCGGCCCCGCCAACTCACGGCCCTGCACGCCCAGTTGGTCGCGTGACCTTGGCATCGGCCTATTAACCCCCTGGCTCGATGTCAAGCCCCGCGGCCCTAGAATTAAACTCTCCTTCCTATTCCCCCTGCGTCGCGACTTTATACCCGACGCACACCTCTTTTTAGCTCACTTAGGCCCCGAATCGCGCGGTTGTACAGCCGCGCAACATTATTTTAGGTAGACTAGGTCTAACTTTAGTTTTTCCATGGCCGCACACTACTGCGGCTTCGTCGAGAACTGCGGACGACAGTGCATACCGTCAACCCCCGCTGTCTCGAACGGACGTCGAAGACGTCACACGTCAGCGACGTCTTACGTCGACAACGTCAGACTTTAAGTCTTTCAGTTATAAGGTTAGCCTGAATAAACTTTGGCAACGTCAGTCTCATCATATTCCTCAACGACAAAAGTCGGACAGTGTCTGACCTTGAAAAACTCGGGCAGAAACCCTCACAAGCGTTTCTGTCCCGACAGCCTTCCCCGCCCCCGTTAAGTGACGTCCCCGTCGCTTACCATAAGGGAAGTTTTTATAAGGCCTCAGCGAATACATCATATAATCACAGTACCTCTGGAATTAACCCAGATTTTACATACTTATACACGATAAGCGATGTTTCCATCGTTTGTCTCCCTTCCTTTTATAATTTTCCGGATACTCTTCATGAAACTCTCCGTGCAGACTTCATTACCATCAATGCAAAGGGTTTATTTTCAAGCCTTTAGCACAGAGGCCTACTTTCAAGCCTCGTAATTCTTTCGAACCTTTCTTCGAAAGCACTTTCCTTCAGTCACGAGTTGGAATGGGGTCAGAAATAACCCCTGACAGACCTTTCCCTGGAATCTGGAATCCACCGTCGACCGTCGGCGTTACCCAGCCTAAGGAGTTACAAGAACCTTTTAGAAGAATGATCCCAGCATAATCCCACTGGCGGCCACTCATCTTCCCTTTTGTCTCTCATAGATGGGTCAGGCTTATCCCCCTGATGGGACTTTCTTCAGGCTATAACCCCTTGTCTAGGTCTCGTCGTGCTTAACCCCCTGCGGGTCCTTCGTCATACAGCACATACCGCCAGGAATTTAACTTGGGTCTCCCATGTTCATGGGGGTGCATTCGTAATACCTCAGCAGGTCTCTCGCTGTCAGGAGTTTTAACCCGGGCTCCCCACGAAACACAAGGGTACTCACACTATACTACAACACATGCCGACACCATCCCAGAGAGAAATCACCATTTCCAAAAGTCCTTGTCCAGTCCGGCTAATTCCCACTCCAACTTAATTGTCATGCACGATTTATCTCCCACATGTATTGTGAATGCGTTGAGAAGTGGTGTAATCCATAGAGGATAACATCTCGACGTCAAGCCCCTCTTTAAACTCGAGCCTCACCATTTTCCCTCCGATTCCAGTGTCATACATTTGTTAGTACCCTATTTGCAAGGTTGAACTACCCCTCCCTTATGACCTAAGTTGATCAAACCCGACCATAAAGTTGAGGCGACCCCATTCACCACAAAACAAAAGGTGATCAATCTTTTCCTCATGGCGAGCAGTAATCGCCACTCTCACAAGCGAGGTTCCAACAAACATATTACCACCTTCCTCCCTTTCGACGATAGTGTGCCCATTCTCCTCGAAAGGAGAGATGACAACATCCCGCTATGGACCAGGAACAAAGTTCCGGCGCAGGCCTCACCACCGTCTACGGGGCTCACAACATTAGGATTTCTCATTGCATGACAATCGAAACAATACCAAGTCATAAGGAATGGCAAGCAATTGAATCACATGTCTGACGAATAACAGATGTTAATCCAACCAGGCATATGATTCAAGTACACATCATCTCCTTAGACATGCACTCACATAAATCTCATATTCATAACCACATACACGGAGTTTCATAGGAATTCCAGGCTTTTCAGTTGTTCACATATATGATGAATACTTTAACAATATAAACATCCATCAGCTATTTCACAAGATTCTTCTTGCAATGAACATCCAACCATGATAAAAATCTCATAAAGTCCTTTGGTATCACTCTTTTACTTTACAATCAGTATCCAATACCTCTTATGCATAGAGACAATTGTGAGAAAAATATCATAGTCATCTTATAATTGTCTGTGGCACTAAGGCACAAATCCATTATTACAAAACAACAGGAATCACAATCCCATTAATAACCTCTCAATCTCAATGCTTTTATTAATACTTCACAACTTCCTTGGTTAGCTTAAGACAAAAGTCGAAATCAGCTGAACCACAATATGAAAGCAAGAAGGATTACAAAAATTGATGCCACCAATTACCTCCTCTACCCTTCCTTTCTAAAAGTTTTCACTAAACTCTTGGGATAAACTTCCGTAGATGCGCACCGGATATCCAATTTCTACCCCGAGATCCATCCAACTCCTCTATTTCGTACGCCCCATGCTCTGTTTTCCTAGTGATCCGATATGGTCCTAGCCACCGACTGTCTAGTTTTCTGGACCACTGTTTTTCTAGCGACATATCATACAACAAGACGATGTCTCCCACTTCCAACGGCTCTTTTCGGACACGTGACCTTTTGTCCCATCTTTCCTTGTCATCCTGCCTGCTTTCAGAAGTAGAGACAGCCGCATCCTCAATCCGTTCTTCAGTCGCCATGATCTGTCTTGCCCTCAATTCCAATAACTCTTCCGTCGAAAGTTTTGTTTCCACGTCTTGTTTTTGCCAAGTGGTTAGAAAACTCTCAATTGGAAAAATTGCATGCCGTCCAAACCATAATGTGACGGGAGCATACCCGGTTGTTCATTTGATGGTAACATTCTCAACAAAAAAGACTGCTCTCAAATAAATTGGCCATCTTGATAGTTCCCCCTTGCACCATTTAGCCAACAAGTTAGACAAGGTGGCATGTCCTCGTTCCACGGGTGCATTAGCGTGGGGATGTGCTCTCATCGTATAGTTGAAACTTACCCCAAGCCTTTTCAAAAGCGTTTGCACCTCCTTTGCTCGAAACTCGCCTCCTCGATCCATAACAATCTCTTGAATAAACGGATAACGAAGGTAATATTCCTCAATGCACTCTGCCAAGACTGACCCAGTACGTTCGCAAATGGCACAACCATCAACGAACCCAGTCAAATTGTCCCTAGCATCGAAGATATACCTGTACCCATTTATCCCAGGTGGCATTACCAGGAGATCCAAATGCACCATTGCGCCCGGTTTTGCCACATAACGTGGATTTAGAGGCTCGAGGTGGTGGATGTTAGACCTCTGTTGACAAGGGAAACAAGATTTACAAAAGTTGATCACCATCTTGCTTATCCCTTCCCAGAAATAAAGGCGTTGGATTTTGTTCAAAGTTACCCGCACAGATCTGTGTCCGCCGGCTACCCTATCATGCAGAGCAGCAATCACATCCAATTGTCGAGAGATTCCGCATACCATCCTCTTTGGGACATCATCAGCAGCTTTCTTAAAAAGATGACCGTCACGAACAACGAATCCTTTGCTTGTCTCCCGCACAACCGGATCAACCTCACTTTCGTCCAATTCCCCATTCAACCACATGCCTATCTTCTTATATTCCCCTTCGTACTCCTTTTTCCTTGAATGCCTCTTTAACCTCACTGCTCCCTTCCTCCGCATTCATTAACCTCAGGCGATCCTCATGAACCAACAAGTTCATGATATATGACATCCTTCCAACAGTCTGGAAAGCATCATCAGCCTGCATATGACCCTGTTCAATCGTTAGCGGATCAAGCATAAGGTCGATGTCATCGGTCATAGCCAGCCTCATCATTTCCTCTGCGGTCTGCTCGCCCCATGGGTCCTCCTCGATGAAAGGTTCCTCCATCACGAGCTCTGAACGTACCCCGTGACAGATGGGAGCATTCCATATTGATTTTCCATGTCGAGTGGCCGCATCAGGCAGGTAGGCAAAGGAGTTAATACTCAACCTCGACTCCTCTTCTTTCAAAAAGGCATCGACCGGAACGGATTCTTCTGCCTGATCTGTCTCTGGATCCCATTCAACCCGACTTAACCCATCAGCACGATTTTGACTCCCCGAAATCCGCTCAATTTCGAAGTCAAACATCCAGATATAAGTCAACCATCGTGCAATGGTGGGATCAGCAGGTGAATAATTCCTTAAGGATTGAGCCAATGCAGTCGGATCCACCCGCAGGATGAAGCGTCTACCGAACATATAGTTCCAAAAGATACGGAAACAGTGAAGTACGACCAAGGTTTCCTTCTTGAATTGGGAATAGTTCCTCTCAGCAACATTCAGAGTCCTGCTCTCAAATCTGAGAGGTCTTTCCTGCCCCTCAGCATCCTTCTGAATCAAGACCCCTCCTAGGGTTGTGGGCCCCGCATCAGTCTCAATAACAAAAGGACGCTTTTCATCATCGTCGAAAAAAGGAACTCCAAGGATCAATCCGCCCTCACGGAACTCAGTCTTTATGTCTTCCACGACCGCTTGCTGCTTCAGACCCCATCCCCACTTCTGGCCTTTGCGTACAAGCTTTCGCAAGTGCTCCACTCTGGCGGCAAACCTGCGGATAAAGATGCGTCAAAATCCACAGGTTCCGAGAAAACTTCGCACATCCGTGATTGACTTGAAAGGGGTTGGCCATTCCAAAATTTTATTAGTCTTCTTCGCATCCGACCGGCGACCTTTCTCATCGCAAAGGAATCCCAAGATCACGACTCTCTTCATACAATGTCGAGACTTGATCCCACTAGCTGTGAGATTAAACTCTTTCAACCTCTTAAGAACTTTCACCACATCATTGATATGTTCCCAGACAAATCGGCGAATGCCTGGCAAAACCTCCACCAGGTCTTTCGTATGAGACCCTGGGATAGCCAAGTCGTCAATATACGGCGAAGTTATGTTAGGACAATAAGGCTGCATAACCCTCGTCATATATCTTTGAACAATAGCAACGATATTTGTCCACCCCTGCGGTGCCACACACATATGGATCAACCCGCGAGGAGTATGCATCGCCATCTTGGGCCGATCCGCAGTGTAAATCGGGAATTGATCATACCCAGAATATAAATCGATGAGGGTAATGATAGACCTTCCTGCACAAGATTCTGACAATAGGTCTGCATGTGGAAGTCCTCCTGCATCTCGCACTGTCACTGAATTCATCTTCTGGAGGTCCTGAATCCATCGCAGACCATTCGGTTTGACGAAACTGAACCATGAAGATGCATACGGCCCGTAAGAATAATCTGCAACCTTTGTCCGGATCTTTCCATCGAGGTATGCGACCACCTTACGGTGATCCTCCGGGTTTGGATAACGTGGCCCTCTTACATTCCATGGCTCATGTGGTACAGTATGAACTTTGATCATCGGGATTTTATCGACATCTTGCCTTCCTCGCTCATCATCATCAAACGCATAGGAGAGATGTTCCTCCCTCAATATATCGATGATGTATCCCTTTTCCTGCTCAGTAAGGAGGTCCTCCTCCCCAATGATCATATTTTCCACTCTTTCTTTGGTTAACCGACATGGCTTTTTTTCACCTCTCTCTTTCATTTCTCTGATCCACTCGCGCTCCTCACGATAATAGACTTCCTCCTCTTGAGTGATCAGAACAGGCACCGGCTTCGCCTTCACGCCTACTTTCTTGTACTTACGTTTCGTGCCGGTGTCAAGCATGCGTCCTCTAAAAAAGGACCCTGTCGAGTGGAGGGCAATTCCTGACTTTCTCCCTTATTCCCTTCCGACGGGGAGTAAACAAGGCGCATAGTCCCTGTGCTTCCGGTGTCCGTGATGATCTCCGTCAAGGCTTGCACCACATTCGGATTGATCGCCGCATGTGTCGACACGAAATCGATTGCCTGCCCAATATCAGGCAGGGTCAGCGAGAACTCACGAGGATTCGGCTCCTCCCCTAGCGATTCCTTCTCCCTTCTCAACTTTTATGACTCCGAAAAACTATAGGATTCTGGGTTTAGCCGGTTCCGCGAGCAATAGGGTCCAGTGTTCGCACACTTGACCACTTCGTAATAACCGCAGACAGGATAGCAAAGCATTACAAACATGGTTCCATCATGCTTGTTAATGATGATGCTTTCCGACCGACATAAGAATGCCCTTCCGAGCAGCACCTCGTGTTCCACTCTAGGTAACACATAGAAGTAAGAACGGACCTTAACTTTTCCGACCGTGACGAGAACGCCACTGGCTGTTCCGCAAAATGGAGTTGATCCGCTAGCTCCCACCAAAAACCCGTAATCATCTCGATTGATCTTCAACCCGGCTTCGATGGCATGACACTCACGAATGATGTTCATCTCGACTCCATCATCCACAAGTGCCGAATACTCCTGCTGTCCAATCTGGACCTTCATATGGCCGGTTGACACACTTCGCCAATCCATCTTCGTCCCAGGCGGGGACCAGTTAGCCTCCGGCGGAATGACTTCGCGGAGCTTAACAGTCATGACTCTCTTACGAGTCATCCGCTGTTTAAACTCTTCTCGAATTTTTGGCGATACCGCCAAAATTTCCTTCAGCGTGACCAAGTCGCGCTGACTTTCCAGAATCTTATTGACGAGTTGCTCGATATCGACCCCCTGCTCCACGGGGATCGAATAAATGTTCTTTTTCTTTCGTGGCTCCTCCTCGCTTACTTCGGCCTTCCCTTTCTCCGGCTCCCTTTCCAGTGCACGACGACGAGTCCGTTCTTCCTCTTCGGCCCGCAACTTCTCGTCCTCATTGTCCTCTTCGTTCTCACTAATGGAAATAGGCTCTTCTTCCAATGCCTTTTCAGACTCTTTCTCCTTTTGAAGCTGTTCGTTTCGTCGCCGCACCCGGGTCTGAACGACTATAGTCGGGGCACTCCTCTTTAGAACAGGCCTAGGTCGCATCGTGCTTACCATTGGCCCAGTTTGTGATGTTTCTCTCGGAGCAGACGTCCCTACTTGGCCAGACGCATTTTCCCTTTTATCACCCCATTCGCCAAAAAGAAAGACATTCGGCAATCCAGCACAGACTTCCTCCATGTCCACATAAAGTCGGATGATAGAGTCCTGGCATCGGGCAAGCCGCCTAGTGATGGTTTGCGCTCGTTCCACTACTTGTTCCCTGAATCCTTCTGGCTCCACCAGTGAGTCGTAGATATGCAACGACGCCATGACCTCCTCGACCTCGGCCAACCGTGCTTCTTCAGGAGAAGCAATCCGGAACGTTGCCGGTAGCGGACGACCCATTCGGCGATACGCCTCCTTCCTCATACCCCCTTCAATGTTGGGGTCGATCGAATTCCCTTCGTAATCAAATATTTCACCACGTATAGTGGTGAAGACTATCCCTTCCTTCTCATCTTTTGAAAGGAGTTGGCAAAAACCGCATAATATGACCCTTTTCTGCGCAATAGTTACATGTGGCTTCCTGCTGCCACGCCCAACGGCTTCGTTGTCCATTTCCACGGCCTCGACCGTGGCCTCTTCCACCCTGCGGCTGAAACTGCCCTTGATCTTGGGAACTTTGTCCTGACGAACCAGTGCCAGCATTGTCACTCCCTCCTTGATTATTTTGTCCACCGTTCTTCCCCTGTTTGCGGGAAGTCCCCTGTCCGCCTTGAATTTAATTCAAGACCTTCCTCTCCGCCTTTGTCAACTTGCGAGGCGGCTCCTTTTCTTCCTCGCTCTCACTGTCACTTTCTTCTTCCGCCGGCTCTTTCCCCTTCCTCTTACTATTTTTCTCTTTGGCCAACATGACTTGAAGCTTCAGCCTTTCCTCCTTCATGCCCTCCATCATTTCTCTCATGCAAGTCAAAGTTTTGTAAATTTCACCGTCCTTTACTTCTCCCGGCTTCACCTTTTCCCGCTCCTCCTTTTGCTGCCTCAACAACCGGTAGAGAATATCGTCGAACTTCCCCACCAGCGCATTCTGCCGGACCTTAGTCCAGTCATACCTCCCTTGCATCCCTTCAACCAACTTCGACTGTTCGACGTCGTTGAAGTTGTCAAGGAAGATGAGGCAGCGATCTTTGTCGGACAGATCCGGGATTAGGCGAGCCACACGCTCAAACTCCGACAAGAATAGTTTGGTTGTACCAAACGTTTTACGATCCACCGCCCTCAAATCCTGCAGGTCGAGCAACCGGTCGCTGAGCTGATACTTCTCCAACAACCGCGCCTTAAAATCTAACCAATCGCGAGAGATCTGCACCAGTTCATCGATCTCGTCTCGGTACCCCACCTGACAATACCTTTTTACCATGCGAAGCATCTTCTCATCCGTCCATTCGTTGCTATACTCGAGTTGCTCAAACTTGTCTGCCCAAGAAGAGGCATGATTCCCATCGAACAATGAAACATCAATCTTGGGGTAGGGCTCTCGCTGCGACTGCCGAATGACCCGTGCCAATTCTTGAATGTCGTTCCTCCCATCGTCGACGTTGTCGYGACGTCCTGYGGCACCGTCCATCTAGAAACATAAACCCAAGAAATCAGTCTAGGAGTTTTGGTGACATCTATTAAGGTTCCTTCCTTACATWTATAGAGGCTCAGAGATTACTAACCTKTTTTYTTAGACAACCACTACGGCACAATCTTTCACTTGCTTCATTCCCGAGTGTCGTTCCACCAGGGACAACGGTAGTTTGCCGTTATCCCCGGCAACGGCGCCACCAGTCGAGCGCGTCGGCCCCCGCGCGAGCGAGGACCCACCCGGCCTCGTCACGCAGCAGAAACTTAGGCTTTCAACTTTTTAGAGACAACTCGGGGACGACACGGTAACCCGCGTCGGCCCTTCGCCGCTCTGGCCGAGTGCGCCAGCTGTACATCCCGCGGTCCCCTACGACAGGATAGGTTCTCGAGGGGCACAACTTACCTTCCCTAAGGGGTTGTCACCACCCTTAGGGGCGTATCCCTACCGAGCTACCGACCCACATGCGAAAGCTTTTATAATGCAATTGCAGAGGTAAGTCGGCCGAGGGCGTTTGCTCGTTCGCTGTAGCATAGCTACGCATGGTTAAACGTCAAAGTGGACCCGAACGTCGCCCGTCCCAGGGCGCTGATCTCCCAAAAATCGGATCGACGTCGGTCGACGAGGACGTGATCTTCCAAGCGTGAGAAAGTCTCGATCGATCCTAGTCCCTTCTTTCGAAGACAATCAAAAGTTACGAAATACTCGTGTCAACGCAAGCTGAATCATTCTTTGAAATTGACACATTCATACATATCACTTGTCGGGGCTGTCACAACTTTTGCGACTTGATGAGGTGCGTTGCCAAGTTCTTTCATTCCACCCCATGCCGACTGCTAGCCAAGAATGCAGACTAATCCCAATACTCGATTAAAGCTAGGATGCCATCGCACCAGTGATGACTATGCTCTCACTCTAACTTTGGTGTGAATGTCGTTTGCAAGTAGTCCGRCTACCACTATACGAGTCAGTACTCSACCTGAACAACCGAACACTGGATGCCCCATTAAGGTTAAGGATCCACTTTTAAATTATATTGGTCGCTTTGTCCTCCTGGGCAATAATTACTCTTTCTGTTTCACGAGTGATGAAATACCAATCCGCGATATAAAAATATTCAAGGCAATGCTTTAGTTAYATTCTTTTGTCAACTAGCCTGATTACCYCAGGTTTGCACTTCTTATRSTGCAACCCTATCCACGAGGGTAKTGCCAACACRCACTCCGTCCATAGCTAGTGAAAGCACGRACTGGGCTCCTTATGGCAYCAGTTCTCCATTCGTCCRTGRCTCCTAAAACGGYYACTAGAAGRGTAAACTATAGTGGTCCTTCTTAACGTGAGTCGTCAAGAACTTAACGCCTTMTGTGAATAGCACACGTYCATYCCCTAGGAGGTGGTMTGGGATACCCCTCGTCCTYGCCCGGGCGAACCCCGGATCTCAGAAGTCGGGYTGGCTCCACCACGRCAGYATGGTATCCCCCCGCSCAAGCGGTCCACTCCRAGTCGCTAASARGGTCGGCCCCTAAGGCARCGAACCCCCGMCTCAGATGCCTCCTAGGGAAAGGAAATGCACTTACCACAGCGAACGRTCAGCCCWTTATCGTCTAACGTCAAGGGCGAACCTAGACGAAGAAAGGGATCATAGAGAAGAAAAACATTCAGATGGAAGGGCATAGACGAGGAGGGTCATTCGGGAAAGAATGGGCAACCCCAGGGAAAAATCTATGTCCTATTCACTTCTTCCCCTTTGTGTGATCGCTCCGTTTCTCGTCGTCTGYTGTCTTCCCATCCTCTCAACATGCATGCAAGCGAAAAATAGAAGACAAGCATCCTTCCATTCACTTCCATTGATATGACTAGGTTCCTCTTTTYMAGACATCCCTCTACCTACCTGCACGTGAGACCAAACAACAAGTTCAAGAGAAAACAATGCAATCCCAAACTCATGTCAGACTTTCAGTCACACGTGCAAACAAACATAGCTTCCCCTACCTTTCCAGTGAACATTCAAAGAGCAGGGTCAAATAAGTGTGGGCTCACACAGGTGTGAAGGGGTCTGAGTCAAACAACTGACCTTGAGTGAAGTTGAAGCGGCTCACTCAAGAAAGCCTAATATTTTTGTCAAAAGACTGATCACACAACTCACGTAGTGGCATGCTTATAAAAATAAACCATGCTCCTCTTCAAGTGCCACCACTGACCCAGGCGCCGCTTATCAAGACAAAGCAAGCTTRCCGTCGAGAAGAGTACCCCCACTCTCAAGTCTCACACGGCCTCACTATAGTCTCAACGGCATACCTCCTACAAAGAACAGCGTCAGCTCAATCTTCACTCCAACCCCCACCGATTGCCAAGTCAGATCACCGCACGCCTCCACAATACTCATTTCCCGTCTCACTCCTCACTCACTTGGTCCCAGAATGGTCCCAGATAGTCCCACACCATCACCGCAATACTTGGTGCTCCCAACTCAAACCCCTCTTGCCGAACGTGCCGGAAAAAAATCGGTCTCGACCAGCCTTTCAGGTGCCGCATGCGATTGGCAGCGTTTCCGCATAACCGCCGTCGACCCCAATGTTTCCGCCGTAAAATTTCAGCAGCGCTTCCGCACTACCGCTAATAAAAGCACCGACGTTGCCGTGCCAAGCGGACAACACCTCTTCTACAGACTTCAATGATGGATGCCGCCCCCAAAARGCCATGCAGCATCTCCCCTACAGCGCCAGCCGAACCCCTGCCGCCGCCGGGCAGAGTTTCCCYCTGCACCGCTTGCACCAAGGTGGTGGCTATGACAGCCTCCCCCTCCCCCTCCACTCCTTCTTGCAGACCTCCTCCTTCGCCAGCAGCTCCAGCATCTCCACCAGCAGCACCGCATCTCCACCAGCAGCACCGC